TGGATGCAGCACAGAACAGAGGAAGAAGTTGAAAGTTACACAGGTGTGGAAGGGCATCTTTGGTACCTGCCACTTTAAGAGCAGCAAACAGGCAGCAGGTGCCTAATTAGGGTAGTCATTTTGGCCCAGGGATGTAAGCTGGGCTACAGTTTGCTGCAGGAAGGAAGGAGGAAACATCAGGCTGAGAGGCTGCTCTGGCCAGAATCAGGATGTAAGGGCAGGGGCTATGGGTAGGAGGTGACTCCTTGTCCTGGGTAAGAAGTAAAACTGCACCCTGCCAGGAAAAGGTGGTCTGGTGGGGCTCCTAGTGGTGTGGGAGCCCCCAGAAAATGCCAAGCCAGTTACCTCCCCAGTGAAACGTGGGTCAGGGAGTCTTAATAACCCCAGCCCCATATCCCTGGTGGTGTTCTAGTGAGCAGGGGGAGCCCAGGGCTCAGTTAAGAAGCCCTGAATCAGAGTTCAGGCAGGAGGAGTGACCTGGGGCTGTGCCCCGGCAGTAGGGTTAAGCCTGAGGGGTGCAAGTCAGACCCTGTGTCAGAGGGGTGATGAGTAGAGGGACTCTGTGTGAGAGGGGCAACGAACAGAGCAGCCCATGAGTGTGGGTGAGTGAGGAGGCCCAGTGGGGACATAGTAATCCAGTGAGGGGCTAGGAGCAAAATAAGCCTACAGTCATACAATCGCTCAGTCAACGCTCAGGTGAGAGTAGTGGGAGATACCCAACAGGCTGCACCAGGGCTGACTGAGGCAAGGAAAGCTAAGCCTGAAGCCAGGCGAGGCTGGGCAGCATGAGTGTGGCCCCTGGGAGTGGGCAGAATGAAAGAGGCTGGATGAGAGCCAGCAGAGTGGGATGCCTGTGAGAGAGGGGTAGCATGTGAGTGGCCCTCCAGGGCTGTAGAAAACAGCTACAACTGTGTGCCCAGTTTGCTCCATCCACAGGCCAGAGAAGGAACACCAGAGTAACATCTGTGAGGCATGGGACCCATGGACGGTAGGTTGGAGCAGGTATTAGGCCCTTGTCAGCAAAGTGAGTAATGGGTAGCCTCCCACTTTAGTGACAACTCCCTTATTTTTCCATCAAGACGTGGCAGGAAAGTGAAGCAGGTGGTTACCCCAAGAGCAGGGTGGCCAGCAAAGACCTGATGAGGAGGCCACCCTGTTACAGTGAGAATGATGTCTTTAACTGCCATTTTATGGTGGCTGTACTGATTGAGTTCAATAGAAAACATCTGCACAACTGCTGTACATTCCCTTCTTTACCGAACTATTCATATTTATTATCTAGTATTTACTGCAGAGTTAAAAACGTATAAGGATGAGTCTTCCTTTAATAGCTTAAATCAAGTCAATTCATGGATGTCATCTTTGAACCCAAATGGCTACATTTACTGAAATTAACTGTCACCAAAACAAAACTCATACTGAAAGTAGCTCCCCAACTGCAAACCATTTTAAAATATGTGACACAGATATCGCAACTTGCCTCTTATCTTTCTGTGCAGCAGTGTTTACTGCATTGAGATCATCAAGGTCTTTTCCTCTGTAAAAAAAATACCATAAAAATAGAATGGTGTTAAAATATTCTGCTTGCTTATAAAATTGGATAAAAGTAGAACTGTAAAAATTGAAGAAACCTAGGCAAATATGCATTCCCCAAGAAGTGAATAGTGGACAGCTCAAGTTAACAGTTCACATATAATTATGCTAAACTGTTGGTGATGGTAACAAGAACACATGCTTAACATTCTCCACTACAAGAGAAAAATTATGTAAGAATTAATTTATTACTTCCAACATAAAGTTCCATTTTCTAGACCTAAATATATTCATACCACTGCATGAGTTAAGATCTTTCCTATACACTATATATGACAAGAAAAGGAGGAATAAGCTTCCAGTGTGTTAGCATTAGCATCTTACCAGCATTAGCTCACAAAGAAATATTTGTGAACATTAAAACTAAATTCCTTTAGGACAGTTACTTTATAAAAATATATTTTACTATTTAGCTTGATTTTGCTCTACAGTCCTGTGACAAATGAGGCTTTCTTTAATCTCACTGCTTTTAGTAAAAATGTAACATGGGTAGAATTGATTTATTTACATTTATATGATTAAATTATTATAGTAATAATTTATGGTAGATTTGATTTTGTACTACTGTTCATATTTTATGTTGGGGTAGTACAGTATTTTCATACCCTATTGGTTAAGATTTTACAGAAAAAACAAACCATAGTATATAACTTTCTATATAGAAAACTGCTAAGTAGCTTAATTTTAATGCAGACCTTTTGTGTTGATTTCCAATTAATGTTTCTTTCTCCAGTGAACTGGAGAATGGAGCAACATATAAAAGCAATCATCTGTAACCCATGTCAAAAAAGAACAGACCTTTTTTAGTTTTCAGGTGGAAGGTATAAACAAAAAAAATAGCTAGCTAGCCAATTCTCTCTGAGTATAACCTTGTTTAATTAATTTGAGAAAAGTTGTTCCCTGCAGCCGAGGAGATCTTAGTATCGATAATAAAGATTCCGCTTGTCTGATTTGCCGACCACATACACAATCAATCCAACAAGAAAACTTGGAACTTTATTAGTTGAGTCTGCTCTGCATATACCTAATTTCACAAAATCTTAGGTGCTTCCTGCTTTGTTGCACTTCAGTGCCTCTTGTATTCTGATCCAAAACATGTCCCTTTAAATTAAAATGTGGACTTTTAAGAGCAACACCAATACTCAGGGGTCTACACATATCCTTAGAATGGTGTTAACTGAACATTTCTGTCCCTCTCTCTCAAACAACGGGGTTATATCCAGGCAATACATTTAATGCATGAACGAATAGTACCATATTCAGAAGCCATTACTGCACATGGCTGTAAGTGCAGAAGTAATTGCATAGCTCCTGTTAAGACAATAGTCCAGTAGCTTCCATTAGCTCAATCTGTAGAAATATTTATGGACTACAAGCAAATTCGTTTCACTGTATGCAGGTCTCACACACAAATCAAAAGCTTTATGAATCAGAGTGCTTTGATAACTGGTTAAAATGCCCTGCTGTCTTCAGCAGGCACAACTATAATAATATACAAGTACTTCAAAACTTTATTTAATCCCCCTACAAAATACCTTTGTTTTCTGTGCCAGGTTTAGCAGGGGCCATATAACTGAGAGTCTAAGACTGAGAGGCTTGTAAGACTTGCTCCTTGTCACTTGTGATAGAAATGGGATTTGCTGTGATGAGATTATCATGACCTTGGCATCTTTAAAGATAAAGCAAAACCAGGGCCAGTCACAGTCAATACATCCAACTACCAATTAGCTAAAATTAAGTGTTTGCTTGAAATAAAAGAAGAGGCAATTGACACATTCCTCAGAAAAGAACAATGTGATATTGATGGAGAAGTTCAACGCCTATTATTCAATAACATTCATTAATTTTATTTACTAAGTCAAGACAATTTATAAAATAAAATGTGAGCACCAAAAATATGAAATACCTGATTATGTTTTAAGAAAAAACAATCATACTGAACACCAAGTCAAAAGGGAATGCACCTTCTGAGCACTCTTACTCAAGAACTTTAAAACATGCAAGCCTTTAGCATACAATAAGATTTAAATAGTGCTTGAAATCATAACATCAGCTAAATATTTCTATGATGCATGCAAGATTGCCTCCCAGCTGAGAAAACATAGCTTTTTCTAGTTTACTCATGTGAAGATTCCCCATAGTTTCTATGGTAGACCAGGTATAACTCTGGACCAACATAGCTCTGTTCTAATTTTCATTCTGGTGGTGTTTAGGTATCACAGCTATGAACTGGTGAATACTAGTAATGAACTAGGTTCATTCATTCTGGAGTTTCTGGACTCTTGCTTCTTTATGTGGCACTTCTATTGTCTGAATTCTGTTTTTATTTTCCCAAAACTAGAACTGATTTGATAATTGGATTTTTACATAATAATGCAATAACATTAAATATGCATATGTACACACACAAACAGAGAAAGAATATGAATTGAAATGAGAAATCTAAAAAAAACCCAGTATTTACACTTTTGAAATTAAATTTCAATACTGTCAAAACAAAATGACATATTTTGACTTTTTCCTACCAAAAATTTGAAAGGCAAGATGTTCCTATAAACTACTTTGATTTCATTCTCTGACGGAAAAAAGTTATGCTGAAAGTTCTTCAACGAGTTCCACCAAAAAATCTATCCTAATTCTGCCTGTACAATGTAAGCACTTAGGAATCTAGTGCATATCTAGAATGTAAACTGACTGTGGTTGATAGAAACACCCTCAAATATCCCACACAGCTTAGCATACGTTTCCACACAGACCAGATGCAGTATAGCCATACTTGTGAAGCACTGGGGATGGGATGTCACTTAGCCGGGCTAATTAGCCCACCCTCAGAGTGAAGATGCAAACAATACTGTTTCCAATACAAGTAATAACCCAATCAGAGCTATGTGGCATGTTTTAAGAAGCTGCCACCAGGCACAGTGAGTTTGTAGTTTTAAAACAGCTTAAGACCATGGATTTTAGTGAGATTTAGGTCCCTGAGTAACTTCGGCAGTTTTGAAAACTGTACCCATGATTAACAGCTTATACAAATTATTCATTTAAAATTTCAATTAAGGGTATGTTGGTCCTACCTTGTAGTTCTCTCAGTTATGCTTCTTCTTTCAGTATCAGCTGGAGATACTGGAGATACCTCCCTATAAAAGATTTGAATACTATTACTATACTTAAATAAAATGCTTTTTATGTACGAATGTCCATTCCAAGCAATGCTCTTAATATAAAAGGCAACATACTGAAACATTTCTTGTGCTAATCTTGTTAATTAGAAACAGAAAAATGCCAGATTGGAAGGGTTTTTGCCCTGTTTTGTCAAATACTGGATAGCTGGTAGGAAAGCAATACATATAACCAAAACTAGATCAAAAATTAAAGAAATATTCAAGAATAGGCATTTAGAAATCACTGTTCTAGCAAGGAGTTAAATATAGTATTTAATAGTAACATAAAAGTATAATCATAGGAAAGTAGGGCTCAAAGGGACCACATGAGGTCACCAGTCCAGCCACTGCTCAAAGTAGGATCATCCCTGACTAAACCATCTCAGCCAAGCATCTGTCTAAACTGCTCCTGAAAATTTCCAGGGATAGAGATTCCACAACTTCTCTAGGCAAACTATTCCAGTGCTTGACCACCCTCATAGCTTTTCCTAATCTCCAATTTTAAATTTCTTCTGCTCCAAGCTTGAGTCCATTGCTCCTAGACCTGTTGCCTATCTTTTCTCTACTTCCTTCAGGGATTTGAAGACTGTCATCAAATCCCCTGCATCTTCTCTTTTCTAGGCTAAATAACCCAAGCTCTTTCTGCCTTTCTTCATAAATCACCAGGGATCCTGATTTTAAAAAATCCCCAATTTTTGGTTAAAAAAGTAACCCCAAATGAAATACCACTAATATATAGATATAATGTATCTATCTATATATATATGGTGGTGTTTCATTTTAATCATGGAAAAATGTGGATTTGGGGTTGGGTTTTTTTAAGCAAAAGCTGGGGATTTTGTTCAAATCAGAGAAAACCAGGATCCTTGTAAATCACTAATCAGAAGTAGCCTTTATTCTTGCTTTTCTAGGGTATGGGCCC